GAATGAATAATATTTTGGCTTAAGAGAGAGAAGGTATCAGTCCAGACTGGCGTGACGAACCGGTGCCATGGGTGCGTGACGCACAAAGGGCCGCACTCGACCCGCCACGTGCGGGGGGCCCTCGCATGGTGCCGGACAGAGAGGGAGAGGCAGTTAGAGAGAGGGAGAGGAGTGAGCGTGCGTGAGAGAGAAAAGGGGAGAGAGGGGAAGAGAGGCAGAAGGGTTGAGTGAGGCAAGGAAAACAGGGCGGGTGAACGCAAGAAATGTGTATACATTCATCACACAATTTACAAGAACTTGTAAATGCACAATGCACGGAACTACTAAAACAAGTACAAAACCAACTACAAAAATTAGTCGAATTGCGTTTTATAACGGAGTCATCATTAGCTCACGATACCAGGCGTGCACGCGAAGTAGCGATTACTGCTCTGGGCCGCGAGTGTCTATTGAGCACCACCTCCGCACTTACATGCCGGGGCCAGGGAGACACGTTGGCAACACTGTCGTGGCAGGGTGGGCACGGGAGGGCACTGGCAGCCAGCCACCACCCCTTCGCCCCACTCATCAAACTTTCAGGAAACAGGTATTAAATATTTTAGCGATTCGTTTCCGGAGGAAAATACGCCCCTTTCTTCTCCCTGCTCGCGCCCGCCTCACCCCCCCCACCCTTCCCTCCGCACCCCCTCTCCTCTCCCCTTCCCCGCCGCCTCCTCCGCCCGGCCCGCCTTTCAGTTTGCCGCCCTCGCATGCCGCGGACTCAATCAACGCTGGGGGCTGGGCCTCTGCGGGGTGCGGGCTGCTGGGGGGGGGGGGGGGGAGAAGAAGGAGAAGGGTGTCGCTAGGACAACCATTGGACAGGTCAGACACATTACCCATTACCCCATTACCCATTTTGTGGAAGACCAAATTTTTGCAACCTCTCCAAGTGGCTGTTTTCATGCAACTATAAATGTATTATCATCTCGCCGCAAAAATTCTGCAGTAAAAGCAATTAATTGGGATGGTTTTGAGGGACAAAATTATTTTTAGACAGTACCCAAGACTGTCTTTACCAGAGGGTAAAGAGACCCCTTTCCCCCTCCTCACCGTCTCCCATATATAGCACCAGGGCGCTCACCCTTAACGCAGCCGCCCTCCTGTGAGCGTAAGGTTGTGATCGACCAGATGTTACGTTAAATCCAATTTTTAATGAGCTCTTACATACATCTATTATATTTCACACCGCGCACCGGTCCTACAACCCCCCCCCCCATTTCTCCAGGCACCCCTTGCAGGAGGCCTCGCGCAGCGCCCTCTCGTACTCTGTCTCCCTCCCCACTTGTCCCCTTGTACCTCTGCCCTCTCCACGAGTGCACTTGACTGCGCGGACAAAACCAGATAGAGTGTCATTGTTCTCCACCCTCGTCCCCTCGCTCCCCCCTCTCCACCGCGCCTCCCTCCGCGCCACGCCCGGGCGCCACGATAATAACATATTCAAACGAGCGCACGCATTGATACGGACACGGTGGTACAGTTCCCTGCCCAGGACAGGACACTAAATAGAGAGCGGCAGTGTTTGTGCCTAGGTTAGATGTGTGCACATCTGAATCAGACCCAAATGTATTCACTTGAATACAGACTAAATTAGGCATGTGTAACATTGGTCTTAATACAAAACTGGCCCCTTTACATGTAGAGCGCGGTGCTACCGATTCATCGGGCATGGACACAGAAAAGCAGCATAGCCCAGCAGCTTATCAGCTGGTATTTGTCATCATACCCCGCCCTGCTTGTTTCCCTTTTTGCGGGGAACGGGGAGCTACTGGTAAAGCAATATCATGATCCTGCCGGCAATTTTGTCGCACATCCCTACAATTTTTTCGGTTCGCTCGAAGAAGAATGGGCGGTTCGTGTGTGTTTGTTTTTAATAAAACGTATCCCCTTATTCACACATTTTGATTCGACACAAGTCTTGGCCAAACACAATTATCACAGCCCACGAGCCCCGGTAGTGCCGCAGCTGCTGCTCTTTCTGCCGGGAGGCGGCGGCCGTGGGGCGCGCGGGCCGGGCTCCCCCGCTGCTCACTGGAATTGGTTGGCGTTTGCCTGCTGCCTCCCCTCCGCTACGCGTCGCTCCTCGACTCTCAAATCTCTCTCGAGTTGATCCCCGCGACCAAAGAAGCGAGGTGCCGGCGCGGCGGGTCGGGTCGGGAGGAGGAGCGCCCTCGGCAAACATTTTCACGGCACCCGCCGGACTCACAATCATCCACAATGATGGCTCAACGGCAGCAACCCTTATTTCCACTACGACCTGCGACGTTTTTCAAAAGCTTTGGTCTAGACTTTCGTAGGTATACAGCCGCCCTCGCAAGGGGTTGAATCGCTTATTGGTATGTTTATTTTCCTGTACACATGAGAATTAAACTCACATGAGTGTACGGTAGGCGGGGGAGTACATTGAATACAAAATAAACTGTACTCCATGTACTACACCTCGGCACCATGTGATTGGTCTGCCCATGAGAGTTTAGGGAAAAACCTTTCGCCTTTTATTTTCCTAAACTCTCTTGGCCTGCCGCCGCCGCGCGGCTGATTCGCTCTGCTCGCGCCAGGTTAGCGAGTCGTAGGCCGGCCCGCGCTATACGGACGTTTGTAGTACACTACAGCGCGCAACCGGGTGAAGCGTGGCAGGGGCGGGGTGGAGGGGACACTTCAGTGTTGTGACCTGAAATAAATTTATCGGTCCGGTCCCGGTCGGGTCCCGGTCTGGTCCCGGTCGGGCCGCACCCCTGCTCGGCCGCACGCACCCCGCCCTGCGCCTTTGAACTTGAGCCTAACCCTATTCGCCCGGTCCCCTTCAATAACCCTCCCCGCCCCTCCGCACCCCCGCATGTTTGCCCTAAGCATCGACTTTAATGGGAAGGAATAACAAGACACGAGTCTCCTCCCTCCCCGCGGAGGGTCACCCCCGCTCCCCGCCCGCGCTCGCGCTCCTGCGTTTGTTCCGCCGTGGTAGGAAACACGTCATCACTTTCTTTGGACGTAATGTTCGAAGCAAATTCAAAAATGAACCTAGTTACGAAACCTTTTTAAAGGGTGTGCGTGCGGGGTGGTGGTGGTGGAAGGGGAGAGGGGGGAGGGGGGGGGGGGCTTGTACACCATGCATATAGGAATGGCAAAAAAGTAAGCTGACTGAAGTCAACGTCTCGGTTTTTTTTTAAAAGTCAATTTGCACGTTTTCCACTTAAACAGTTCCCTGCCCACCCATACTAGCCAAAGAAAAGTGGGAGACAATATTCTTTACCGTAAAGAAAATAATTACAATTCTAACAGAGCGCATATTTAAATTTTTGTGTCCTTTAATATTTTGAAAAGTTACATGAGTCAAATAACGTTTGTGATTTTTTCTCAGTAAGAGTTGAAGCAAATCAGATTAGCACAAGAATAATTATTTCTACCGTAGCTCTCAACTTAGTGAGCACATGAAATTTTTTGGAGCAAGTATTTAAAGTACCATTTTAAAGAAAACGTTTTACATTTATGAGGCTCGGAACCTTTTTTAGTGAATATGCCAGGTCTAAGGAAACAAACGTGCGAATGCCTGAATGGATGAGCAGGCCAGACTACCTGAGAATTATGATATGGTGATGTTTCAAATCCAAAATTGTCATGGTAACCATTAGTTTTCCTGAGAAATGGGCCGGATATGAGGTCCTTTTCTTAATTTCCTGGCTAAAACCTCGGTGAATGTACTTGGGCTGATTCGTTATCTGGGCCTGTGAAGATCTCTTTCGCCCTTGCCCACAGAAGCTATGAGAAACTTCTATGCGTCCTTAGATCACGCCCAACCATGGTTAAAAAAATTAAGAAGAAAGACAATTTAACTGCATCAATTTAAATGGGCGGTGAGCGGTAGCGGAGGGGGCGGTGGTGGTGGTGAGGCTTGGGTTAGAAGAGGGAGTAAGAACATCTTATACTAAGTAAGGTAACAAACATGTTACTCCATAAACCGGGCGGTCCATATTGCAGAAGCAGAAGGGGAGGGGCGACAGTAAGGGAGGAGAGGGGGTAGAGGGGTTGTAAGCTGTACGGGGGAAGGTGGGAAGGATGAGAAGGGGGGGTCATAGTGGGTTGGCACCTCCCCATTCAAACCCCTGTGCCCGAAGAAGAACCCCCTTCCTTCCCCCACCCCACCAAATACTCACCCCCGGCCCCTCTTTGCCCCACACGACCACCTACCCACCCCCTCCCCGTCTCCCACTCAATCCCGTAACCTATTTCTCCGCGCAACCTACGAGGCCATGGAAGGGGTAGAGCGACGGCGTAGCACATTTCAGCCCAGCCCTTTTCCGATCGTTTTTGCAAACGAAATCATCTGATATGACCCGTCTTGGCCAACTCACCTGTGTCGGGCAGGTGGGTCCAGCGATCCACCAGGTAGCCGCGCAGGTTGGACACGCGGCTCGGCGACGGCGGCACGGCCGCGGTGTCTGGCGCGCCGGCCGCGGGGCTGGCGCCGCTGCTCAGGTAGGACGCGGCCTGGCGGTGCAGGCGCCCGAGCAGGGACGAGCCCCCGCCGTCGCCGGCCGCGGGCGCGGTCGCGCTCTCCTGGGCCGCCGTGGTCACGCGCTGTCCTGGCCGGCCGGTCGGAGGAGTCCGTCACACACTTGCTGCTGTCGGCTGGCCTGGCCCAGGCGCTCACTGGCCGGGCATGTCTCTGTCAACAGACAGCGCTTGTTCACACGCACGCACGCACCGCACCGCACCACGCCGCGCCGCACCGCGGGACCCGGGACCGAGCTGGACAGGTGGGCTGTCGGGGCCAGCACTCTCTGGAGCGGCGGCCGGCGGCGGCCCCAGCGCAGCGCCGGTGCGGGGAGGGCGTGGCGGGGGCGGCGAGGGGCGGCGCGGGCGGCGAGGGGCTGGCGGGGGGCGGCGCCGCGGTGCGCCGGCGCGGCCGCTGGAGCGAGCCCGCCTCCAGGCCGGTGGTGGGGAGGCCCGGCCCCCAGGCCCGGCCCCCAGGCTCGGCCCCCAGGACTGCGACGCGAGGGGGTATGTCGAGGCCTGGGCGCACTCCCGCGCGCCTGAGCGGGGGGCTGCTGCTGGCCGCTTCTGGCTGCTGCTGCCGGCCGCCGCCATTGGCCCTGGCCCGGGTGACGTCACCACCCCCAGGGAACCTGTGCATGCAGCGCCAACTGTCTCTGTCTCTCTCGCCTGCTCGCTCGCACCCCGCCCGTCATGCTGATTCAACTATCTCGTTTTTCCTACGCTTATCAAGCGGTCCTACCGAGGCGGTCCCTTCGCGCCCCCTCCCTGCTCGTCAAGGTCCCCCAGTGACCCAAAGAGTCCTGCCGCTTCTTGTGGATGCCAAACGGGGAGGGGGGAGAGGGCTTAGGTGTGGGTAAGAATAGGATGGGGAGGTGGGGGAGACACCGAGAGCGCGTCTCACGACCCCCCATTACTTCTATAATTTTTTTTGTTCACCACCCTCCAATGCCACACCTCCCGGCTATCGCTCCCTGCTCCCTACTTTCCGTCGCATAGGACTCGGTTCAGAACAACTGTCGTTTTAGGGCGGCTGCCCTTCTCTCGTCGATTTTAGACAGCAGCGCCGCCGAGGCCGCCGCAAAGGTTACCCCGCGACGACATTGGGCTGTGCTCCGCGCTTCCGCCCCGAGTGCTTGTCGGCTCAGCGACGGTTGTGTAAGGTTTACACAACCGCACCAGCCGTCCGGCTGTCAATTAAAGCTTTAGGGCGGGGCGGGACGGGATGGGACGGAGCGGGGCGGGGCGGTACGCGCGGCACGTGCCGGCCACGCGCTGCCGCTCGGTGCCGCCCCGATGCGAGAGTCGCTCGCCGGACCCGCCGCGCCACGGACGCGGCGATCAGGTCGGCCTGGTTCCACACGCCTCGTTTACTTTTATTGGAGAGGACAATCTACATTTTTCATCTTTTCAAATGTTTTGCTGGGGGGAGCTATTTTGATGAGCTTAATGGGCTTCTTCTTTGCCGGGTCACAAGAAGAGGAGAAAAGTCTCTCAAGTCTGTGTAGCGCGTTAAAACGAGCCTCCATCAGGTCTAGCGCGCGCTTCGTTGCCATTTAAATATTCAAGCAGGTGGAGGGATGAGGGAGGGGGGAGGGGTAGAACAGTTTGACGGCGCTGTGGCGCTGTCCTACCCGTCAATGTCTCCTCTCGTCCGGAGGGCCCTGGCGAGCCGAGGG